AACCTTTAATTGTTGTTATTCATTCCTATATTACACATGTCTGTTCTGCATGTAGCGATATATCGATTTAAAATATAGATGAAAGACAGTGAAGGCAGCATTTTAATCTAAATGATCAGCCTGTGGGAAAACTTAGATCAGCAGCCATAATGTGAATCCAGAAGGTTAATACAATTGGGTTGTGTGTGTGTGTGTGCGTGTGTGTTTTTTCTTTTAATGATTACTACCGGTCACACCAACATTATGGCATTACGGTTTTCCACGTAAACATTAAAACCCAAGGTTTACAGGTTAAGTTTTTTTCTCCTTAAAAACTAATCAGGTTTTTTCAAAAGCTTGCAAAGACAATGACTGAATATATCTTTATATTGTTGTTAAACCAAAAAAGATATTTTGGTTATCAGCCTACATACAGCGCTATATTAAAGAAGCGAAAAAGCACCGTAGGCTAGTCCATGTTAAAATGGCAAACTTAAAATAACAAAGCTTCAAAGGCATGCATTTCTGTAACAGAGCACCTCCTATGGGTGCAATGTGTAGGTGGCCCAGACTTTTGGGCATTTAGATTGTTACCAGAAATGGTTTTGTTCACTTTAAGCAGATTTGTAGGTGTCAGCCACGAGTAATGTAGCTGTGAATAATAAAGTTTCAACACTGAAATGCAAATAATGCATTAGTCAGACCTTCCTCTAAAGTTTGTCATAAAGCCAGTCAGTCAGCTTTATTGGTCATCTGCAGAGCAATGATTCAATACTTTTGCAATGTCAGACAGGAACTACAAACACACCTTCAGGGAAGCATAGAAAGTTTATTGTTGAGTTATAGCGAACGACAACGTGCAAACTGTCATACATGTGACCCTAATGAGAGATTTGCATATAAATCGTGATTATAGTTAAGTACCGATTTTGCCAGGGAGTAGTAGTAGTGTAAACAATGTTCTCTTTTAGGCACAAAACAAACATACAGACTCAAAGAAAGAAATTGAACACAAAAGATTTTGTCAGCGAAAAATAGTGACTGAAATGGCAAAAACATCTATATTATAGTGAAACTGTGCAACGTTGGATAGAAAAATAACATTTAGTCATATGTGTTCTAAAAATTCATAGGCCAATAGGAAAACAATGAGTTTATTATTAAAAATGCTTCAATAAAGTTATAAAATGCTACAGAAGTTAAACTGGGGAAAAAACAAAATCAGTCTAAGTGCTTCAAAAGTTTTTGTGTGTTTGTCAGTGTCACTACCACAAAGTTTCATACA